AAGGGGCAAGTTGGTGCAAGTGCAGGGCACCTCAGGCGTGGTGAAGGCAGACAAAAAATGATAAAAAAACACGTAGAAATTGCGTGAAGATGCGGGCCGCTGGACTGTTCACGGTGTACCCAGGGGCGCCCCCACCTGCAGCAATGCCTTGGTGTTCGCAGATTGCTCCTGCGAGAAATGTGAGAAACACTGACCGCCACTGTCCATGGCCTGCAGCGATCATTTTGCTCGGGCCAGGACTAGGACATGGTTTGACACCCCTGCCCTGCGGGAGAGCAAGTCGGCTCAATGCTCTGTCCTGCAGCGGAGCCGCCAAGGCAAAATGCCTTAGGTCTAAGGAAAAAAAACAACTGAAGCTAAATGAAGATCATGCTTCATGAATGCTTCACCCACTGCTTCATCCATTGTCACTTGCCCATACTTCAGCTCCCGGCTCGGCAGCAACGCGCTGAAGAGCTGCCAGCCGCGCCTCCTGCGAAAGCTGTCAGAGATCGCCCTGTGGCCTCTGCCCATACTGCGCTCATGGTCCTTCAAGGCAACCTCCGGCCCAAGCCTTGCCAGGGAGAAGACGAGGCAACACAAAAACAACAAAAAACAACAGGGCTTCATGACAGTTCTCCGGTCCTGCTCCCTTGAAGCGATGATTGCAGGGCCTGCACAGAGAGCCGAGACACACAGAATCGTTGAGGGGTCGTCACGCAGCACGAAGTGGAAGCACCAAAGTTTAGAGATGTTTCACAAGGCCTGGGCGACCTAGATTTGGGACGTTGAAACAACATTCGGAATTTCACCCACTAGGCTACGGAGTATGTGGTTGCACGCTGTGTATTCGCTGCTTCGCCGAAGCCCAAACCCCCATAACCGAATGCACGGGCTCAGCTTTCGGGGAACACGTTTGAATGAAACACGAACTGAGGACATCTCAGGGTTTGCTCTCAGATGCTGTCGCGCCATGGGAGGAAGGCACCGCCGGGGCAATGAAATGTATGTGCTGTCTCGGGTATGAAAGCACTGCCGGCAACATGTCTGTGCGCCTACTTCGGTGTCGACGCGAAGCAAAACCATGCAAAACCGAGAAACAAGGACCACACCAGACCACACAAGACCACACAAGACCACACAAGACCACACAAGACCACACAAGACCACACAAGACCACACAAGACCACACAAGACCACACAAGACCACACGTCACCACACCACATGAACACCTCGAGGCAGCCAAGGGGGGAGGGGGGCCATCAACGAATGCAAGCCTTGAAGCCACGATTTATCGGGCCTTCAGGCTCCGTAGCTCTTGGCCGTCCCCAAAAACACGAAGAGGAACTTTGTGAAGAAACACTATCACGAGAGCTGCCAATACTGCAACTAAAGACGACGACGACGACGAGGATGACGAGGACGACGAGGACGAGGAGTGCTGCTGTTATCTACTGTTGCTCCTTAGACTGGAGAGTCTAGAGGGCACACCAGGGCCTCGATGTTGCGGTCCAGGGACTCGCGGCTCGAAAGCGGACTAGGCGGCTGACCTCGCCCAGGAGAAACTCAGGAACGGGATGGCTATGGCTGCGAAGAAAAGGGCTTTGGATGCTCTGGGCGGTGCGGCCGTGGGTGCAGAAGCCTTCTTTCCCCATGCCCATCGTGCCCACCGTGGCGGCTGCTTCCACAGCCGCCTGCACCATCTCCAGATAGGCAGCGGCCTCACCAGAAAACGCTTACGGAACGGCTGCACTTCGAGAAAGGAGAGCTCGGCCTCCTCATAGGCCTGGCCTGCCAGAATACCCCAATCGGACATACCGGTCACGGAGATGTCAGCAACGTGTCAGCAACATGTCGGCATCCTTTGACTCTTTGCCTGGTGAGAGCGTAGCGAGCAAAAGGAGCCGCTCCCTGCAGCACAGCGTGTCCTTCTGTCACACATGGCCCACGAAGGTGCCGCACATGGCCCGCACATCCCCAGCTCCTCGTTGCCCTGCTAGCGGATGCTCCCAGTCCCCGGTCCTCCAGCAGCTGTGTCAAGGTACTCCGCCGAAAGAAGGCCTTCCCCAAGCCCCTGGCCTCAAAGCATCAAGCAACAGATCGGTCTGATTCGACGTCAATGCAGTGCACTGGGACGAACACCCGTGCCCCGCCCAAAGCCAGATCTTTCAATGCCTTCGATGGAAGTAGCATCACGACACGCAAGTAACATAAGCTAAGGGTCGTCAATGGGCGCCTCCGAAAGGCCCAGCAATGATATGTCCTCCCCGGCTTCGCTGCTTTGCATGTGAGTTGTGCTTGTGGTCCGCGCCAGCACGCTTCCTGGAAGCCGTTGTAGCTGGCACAGTCGACAAAGGCTATGCGAGACCTGCTCAAAACCCTCATGAATCATGAAGGCTGTCAGGACCACATAGGAAAGTGAAGCACACGCAGGGCATCCTCTGCAACTGACTTCCGTGGCATTCCACCGTCAGGTAGAGCACCTCGCTGCTCGCTTGTGGGAAAGTTTTTGAGGCTCGGCGTTCAAGGCAAAGGTCCCAACAGTGTGCGAGTATCCATGCACCTTGGCCCGACTTAGTCAATCTAGTCGCTCTATTACGAGAGCAGCTCTTTGCGAGTGTTCACGGTGTTCATAGAGCCAAGACCAGCACGCCGAGGAGTTTTGTGCTAGCAGCACGCTTCTTGTTGCCGAAGTCAACAAGCCGCTGAACCTCCGGAGATTGCGGAGCCGATGGGAGCCTCCTGAAAGCCCCAAAAAAGGAGCCAGAGAATCGATCGCCCGCCCCTCTCCATCCCCGGCCTCACTGACAGACTCCACAAAACACTGGGTCAGCCCCAGGACATGCGCCGATGCGCCCGGCAGCTCGACGACCTGCTCTCTTCTGATGTCCATATATTTTGTCGACATCTTTTGCTACGAACTATTCTGCACGATATGCCGTTACTCTCTCTCTCTCTCTATGCCAGCATCTCTTTTCTGCGCTCTGCACTCCACTCTGCTTTGTGCTGCCACCCACTGCTACAGAGCTCATGAGCTGGCACCGGCGCCTCGAGGCTCCGTGCCTCGCAGCGCAACACTGGTTGACAACGCAGAGGGGGACCGGAAAACGGAAAATGCCGAGAGAATGAGGAACACGGAATAACACAGATCATGGGCAAACAGGCACCGGGCCTTAGGCTGCGAAGGCAGCGGGGCCAGGAGATCCGTTATCTCCTCGCCGTGCACCTCCAGGAACGAGCACCAGACCTGCAGTCAGGCCGTGCTCAATGTGTCGCCCAAGGACTGGCAAGCTGAGAGATGCACCCGAGCAGGCTGACCAATCCCAGAGAAATGTCGAAAAACTTCCAGAGTTGCATGCCTCAGAAATCTTCCATTAGGCTTCCATGAGGGCTTCCATGAGGGCTTCCCGCATCTCGGTCGGCTCAAGAGCGCAAAGGGGGGGCTCAAAAACTTCCACATCCGGGCTTCGCGCGGAATGAGCCCTGGATCCGTTCCTGAAGATGGTGCTTCGATGTGCTTCGTCGGGCCCAACACATCTCAACACGCAACAGGTCGCAACGGCAGGCCCCGCAGGCACCAGGCATTGCAAACGCTGTTTTAGGTCTGGTGCCGTATCCCAGCATCGTGTGGCCTCGGAACCGGCACATATTCGGTTCGAACATCCCTTGGAGGACTTGAGTTGAGGTGCCAGCTCTTCCCACTGGATGGTGGGCCACACAGGACGACTGCAGCACTCGCCCCTCGCATCACCTGCACACATCACAAAAGCCGACTCATAAAATGGGGATCCGACTCATAAAATGGGGAGACGCTCAGGGGAGGGTTTTTCAACGTCCCCTCATCTATCGGAGGCCGTCCCTGCCTCCTGCACGGTTTTTTGGAGGAATTCCTTGTACACGAATGCCTGGCAGAAGTGCTGCTTTACAATCATTGTCACTCACTTCACACACGGTCGTCACACTTTGACCCATCTAATTCGCATTACTTGTGTGTCAAGTTGGGCAGTGAAAGCCTGAGTTTGCTGGTCGGTGAAAACGAGGTGAGATGGGAAAAAGATGCCATCGTGCACCTGAGAGAAGGCTCTGAGGAGCATATCAGAAATCTCAACAGCTGCAATCAGCATGCTCTTCAAAGACTGGCCTCTGAGCGGAGTTCAACTGCTGCGGGTGCCTTTGCTGAACACATCGTGCAGCACACATGCCGGTTCAGTGCTGCAAATGAGTCATTTCAAGCGAGTCACTGATGCGTGTCTGGAGGAGGTTGATGGCACCCTGAGATTCGTAAGCCCAACCTGTCGGAGTGCTCGACTCAGTCAGCAACCCAAGAGCAAAGAGCCAAGACGTGGGCATACATGTGTTAGGGTATTGGATGCTTCTTCGGGCTCGACATGCCTCTCAGTTCTTTTCCTGTGGCTATGCATCTCCCCATCTCTTGCCATTGCTTTTCACCACATAGAGCTGAACCGCCTTTGACTGCCGTTTACAGCAACTCTGGGTCTGTAAGCGGGTCCTCTGGTAGTATACGTATATATCTATCTATCTATCTAGTTTTTGGTGCTTGTACTTACATATTTGAGATGCAGCACGGCCCATCCTCGTCGCGCAACAGAGGCCGTATCCTGACACCCACAAGGGGGCTCAGGGACCTCATGTCACCAGAAGATGGAAAGCCTATGAAAGCCTGTGTTCTTAGACGTACCAAGGCGGCGACGCTGCCGATTCCTCGTGGGCCATGCTGCGCTCACCCTTCTTTGAGTTGATTCAGAGGTATTGTAGGTCTAGAACCAGGACTCATATCTGCATTGCCTCGTTGATGTGTGAAGTGCGGAGCATGATTGACAGGACTTGGCAGATGCAGACTCGCGAAACCATTGGGCCAACCTTGCGGCACCAAGGGACATCAGGATGGACTCAGGCATCAAGCTGCCGGACACGTTCATAAGGCAGACTCAATGCAACCGCGAGTGCGGTGTGGCTCCCCCTTCTTCTTTTGGCATCCGACTCAGACCGTCTGACCGTCTCAGGCGCACAGCACACAGACACCACCTGGCAGGAGCATGTGGTCGAGACGTGGGCCAATCTATGGGCGACGAAGGTAACGAATTGGGGAGCAGAAGCTGCAAGGGCAACCAAATCGCATGAGCGCGCTGCGTGGTTTCGTGTCTACAGTATACAGCCTTTGAAGTTTGGATGGTGTGGATGGCGTGGTTTCAAGACAGCAAATGGGCATCGCAAGACAGCCTGCAGCTTTGATCTTCTCCTCTGCCTCCTTGGTGAAGTAGCGTGCCTGGGCGTCTGGCCATGGCCCACCGAGTCTGACGCTTCGCCACGCTCTGCTCCACATGCTGCACTCTCACAGATGCCGCTGTCGTGCCTTCACGATCATGGGCTGCTCGGGCAGCTGGCCCTTTCCCAGCACCTTCATGTACCCTGCCTGTCAAAGTCTTCGCAGAGACATGCTGGCACATGGTGGTACATTGCGCCGCAGCGCCTTCATGACGTCGATAACGGGAGCTTTGTCCGTCTTGTCCTCCCCCGGCCAATATGCTGCAAGGGGGGCTCTTGTGGTCTGTTGGTCACATTTCTATCCTTGTAGAACAGTCGCGTCTGCTCAGAAACCAAGGACCACAGGCGCTCCACGTTGATGGTTGGGATGACCTCGAACACGCACCACTGATCACAACTGATCACAACGCTCAAAAGGCACAAGGTCACAAGGCCTTGCCGTGCTTGATGAGGTGAAAGTTACGCATCCCCACCTGAGGAGAAGCTGACGAGACATCTGCTGCCTTAATGATGCTCCTGCTTGAGATGCCTTTCCGAAGTAACCTGGGTGGTACTTGTCGAAGTTGATGCGATGGTGGTGCCTCATGCAGCTCTCTCCTTCCAAGAAGTGGCCTTGGCCTGCATCCTGATGAACATGCTCGGACAGGTAGGTTCCAAGGATCTCACTGGCCACCAGAATTTCCGCAGCCACCGGGATGCTTTCGGTGCTTGCCGATACGTCCGTGACCTGTTGCAGCACATAGGGCTTCAGGACTTCCCTCCAAACTGCATATCGTTTTGCCATCTCTTAGCAACGGCACATCACCATGCGCTTAGGGCCGAACCCCTCTTGCGGTGGGCGTGCATCTTGCGGCTTTTCTTGAACCTGGTGGTCATGGTGCCTCAGCTGTGTCACCAAGTCGCTAAGCTGAAAGCTCGAGTGGCGCAGGATCCCACAATCCCTGTCTCTCCCGTAAACTTCTCGCCCCTAAACTTTTCTGTTCTCTAGGTTCTTGGACCATAAGGTCGGCACAGAGTTCAGTTGCGGCTTCCACAATTCTGGATGCCCTGGACGCCCTCCCTTGAGCCGAAGCGCATAAGAATAGATACCACATGTACAACATGACACCGCATGTATGGACGAGGAGGCTAGGCTTAAACTTCTTGGACGAGGAGGCTAGACTTAAATTTCTTAAATATCCCCCCAAGCCAGGGCAACTCCTCTTGCAATCATTATGGCAATGAGCGGCAACTTGCTGAGAAGCTATTCAGTTCTTGCTCTGCCTGCCTTGATAACCCGATGACCTCAGACCCTTGAGGAGAACATTCAGGTGCTACACGACGTAAGATTTAGAGTAGGACAGCCAGCAAGAATGTCGCGCTTTCTTCCCCCAGCGGCCATGCGCAGATGCAAGAGAAAACATGCTTGGAAAACACGTGAGAATCATTATGGTTGGGCCTATGTACAGTCCAGGGATCAGGGCGGCAAGTCACGCCCAAGGATCTTCCTCACGCTGCTTGATGTCTGTCCAAGTATCATCCCTGGTCCTGGCTAGCCTGTTCCTGTCACGTCAATGTCTACCATACCCAACCATCCCAAGCCGGCCTGGTTTGGGCCAACACAGCATGGAGAGCTTCGACCTCCGATTGCAACTGCTGGCCATGCTGTACATCTCTGTGCCACGCCCCACTGCAAATGATCCCCACCTGTCCCGAAGCCTCGTGCCATGCGGTGAGTAAAGAGCAGTATGCCACCTGCCACAAAAAGACGGCGAAAAGCTTGCGAGAGGGAACTTAAGAGTTTGAAGACCCGGGGCGACCTTCAGGTCGCGTCCAGCATCGTCCTGCTCGCATGCTTTCAGCCTCGAGTGAGAAGCAAACCATGAGGTCTTGGCCATGTTTGACCCCCATGGCCCGCAAATGCCCTGGGAAGCGCACAGGCGCAACAAAACAGTGCTGAGCTCTTGCCTGTGCAGTTCACAGCAGATGACGCGATCCTGTACCACCGGCATTTAGCTCCCCCTCTCCCCAAAAGGCCTCACATAGGACATTAGACTTGCGCCTGGCAACGGTCGCGCATGCACATTCATGATGCCAAGAGCTCGGGCGGTTTAAGACTGGCGCGCAAGACCGCCCTTTCTGTGACGGCGAGAAGTGTTTTTAAAAAATGCCCGGGGCCTTGGTCTTCGCCAGTCGACAGCAAAGCGTTGCGCATCTGCTCCTCCTTAGGTCCCCGAGTGCCAAAGTACGACAGTGCAGTGCTCTTGTTGAGCACTGCTTTGCTTGCCTGATCGTTGCGGCCTTGTCCAAGCACCGAGGTCGCTGCTCGATTGTGAGCACCTCAGCTGCAGCTCCCCAGAACCGAGTCAGGGAACCATGAAGTCGACTGAAGGGAAGTTCTGCGCTGATGCATATCGCACAGCAGCCATGCGGCCCACTACCGCCCGGCAGTGCAACGATTCACAGTGATTTCGGATCATGGGGTTTTGCGAACTGGCTCTCCGTACTCGGATCAGCCCTGTCTGATTCAGATCCACGACTGCGATTCAGTGCAGATGCAGGGAGGGCTTCCTGGATCAGCAGCCGTACGATTCAGATCACGGCTTTTAGGGATTGTTTCTAAGCCACGCGCTCTTCAGGAAATAGCGGAGGCTTGTCAGGCGCTACGCTGACCCCTAAAAACCCTAAACCCAGCACAAAACTTGCTCCGAGCTGTTTTCCGCCACGGTCGCTGCCTCCTTTTTTGGTTTAGGGCTTAGGTCTTCCCAGTCGTTGAAGAATAGTGGTATTCATAAGAGAACTCAAGATCATCAGTTGTTCTTCGGTTGCGGTGCTTAGGGCTCAGGACTCGGGGGCCGAAATCTGGGTGAGCAAATCCGCCCCTTCCAGGTGTCGGCCCCGAACCCTGAACCCTCAGCACCGAAACCGAAGAACAACTGATGATCTTGAGTAGTCTGCAATGGCTGGAAAGACCTAAGCCCTAAACCCTAAACGGAGGCAACGACCTACGACTGCAACACGGAGCTAAAACCCTAGGCCCCAGACCGTAATCCCCAAACCCTAAACCCTGAACCCTAAATCCTCCATGTGAAACCTGTCGGGTTACGTGAATGAAAACCTTGATTCTCTTGGCGCTGTCCGGGATTCTAAACGTGCCACTTGGCTGAGCTGACTCAAACGCAGGCTTGATTTAAAGGGGCTATCCGATTGGGCGAGCTGATTCAAGGCACCGCTGACCCGTTACCTGCACCTTCGGCTACCGCCCACTCAGACCCTAGAGCACCTTGCTAATCTTCACGCATCTTCCCCGCCTGCCGTGCCCGCCGCCCCAGCCGCGCCGGCTGCGCTCGCCGGCTCAGGGTCCTGTTGCACTTCCATGCCAAGGAGGTCCAGGAAGGTTGCGAAGGCCCCCAAAAAGAACCCAAAAAGATCGATGTGCCTGGGAAGCGACCTCGCTGCCTCCAGGGATTCTGAAGCCAAGCCGCAACACGCGAAGAAGCGCGAGATGCGATGTCCTAAACTGTCCTGCTTGGCAGTGGCCTGTCGTGGGCAGCTCGGTGGAGGTCAGCCTGGGGAAGTGCAAATAGATGAAAGAGAAATTTTAAAAAAATGGCAGAGCTCAAAAGATGAATGCAAGGGAAGGCTACGGAAGACTATAGAAGATGGATCTGCCGAGTCTCCCCTGCCTCGAGATGGCAACCTCACACAGAAGTGATGCAGCTTTGGCATCGCCAGCCCAGGCTGGCCGACCTGTCCATGCCATCCATGACACCTCTTGTCGCATTTGTCGTGAGCCAGATGCTCCTCTCCCAGACTCGGCCCTAGTGGGCAAGACGTGCCTTTGTGCACAATGCGACGAGCGGCCTTGGTGACAGGCAGGACATGGCAGGACATGGCAGGACATGGCAGGACATGGCAGGACACGCCATCTTACAACCAAATTGTGAAGTCGGAGAACCTTCGCTTCCAGCAGCCTTGCCGAAACGCCGACTGCCTGGCATTAACAGCAACACCTCGGACGGCTCGTTACCCGTCGCTCTTCGGCCGCCTCGCTTCGCTCATGGCTCGCCGTCCACTGCTCCTTGGTTTCTCTACAAGAGTCTCAAGAATCTCAAATTGTTCCTCTTCTTCTTCCTGCAAAGATCCGTTTCTGGTCCCAGCGTCGAGGGAATGCTGGCAATGAGTCATAGCCAATCGCTGGAGACGCGTGTCGTTGCCAGCAGTGCAGAAGTAGACCTTCGGGTCAGGAACCTCTCCCATCGGCGACAGCCGTTGGCCTTTCTAAGTCTAAGGTTGTTCGCTTAAGGTTTGCTCTTTCGCAAATCTGGCTCTTCTCAGCGCTCCTTCTCCTCTTCGGGCTCAGGGTTTCGAGCTTCTACGAGTTTCTGTAGGGCTTGGAATGAGCTTCTCTGTTCTCAGAGCCTCTTGAAGGGCATGGTGTACCTTAGCTTACAAAAGGCTTGCAACCTGGTGTCCCTGTTTCATGCAGGTTCAGTGTCATTTGTAGGGTAAGTCTAGAGGTCTTGACTTTTGGCATTGCTTCTCTCAGGGAACACAAGGAGAATGACATTGAGGGCTCATGCAAGGGAGACGCAAGGGGAACCACGAAGAGTCTCAGGCTCCAGCGAACGCAAGGCCTAGTGATGCAATGAATTGCGTGGCCACATCCAATTCTAAGGCTCTGGTTCCTCCCCTTCTCCAGTACAAACTGTGTGCAAAGCGACAGCACGTGCCTGAGCAGATTGTCTTAAACAACTGGCAGGGCAGGCCCTGCTTTTTTCTCGGCATCTCGGGACAGCTGCTGCTCAGTGGCAGTGCTGTCCCCGCCACAGGACGGATCACCCCAAGAGAGGACAGCGCCACTCTGGCGCAGCAAAGCAAATGCAAACTTTGTTGCACATATTCCTTGGATCTCAGCTCTAGGACACTAGGATACATGCATCCAGACAACGGTAAACAGCAAACACCGGCCCGCGCCCACCCGTGCATCTGCAGGTTTGAGTTACCTGGGGTTCCATGAGGTTGCTGGGCGGCAGGTTGGTACCGGGCTCCTGGTCCTGGTGCATGCAATCTGTTTGAAGCCGAAAGTTGCGCCATTCTAGCCAAGGATCTGTTTATATCTTTCACGCTTGGAAGCACATGAGGCGGAGCTTGAGCAATGTCACCCCACGTCACGATGCCACCGTTATTTTTCACGGCCGCGAAGGATACCTTACCGGGGCTAGCTGCAGCACAAAAGCAAGGCGCAAGAACGGAAGCAACAGCACAACTTCAAGGCATTTCTGTGCCCGGGGCATTGTTGGCATGGAGCTCCACAACACCAGCTGACAGAAGATCGGCAAGGGCAGCTGTGTTAGCTCCATGTCTGGGATCACCCCAGGCGACGACACTACCATCCTCCCTCAGTGCAGCAAAAGCAGCACGAGTTGCGCAGAGCTGCTTTATGCCGCTCAGTTCAGGAGAATTGCCACCGCAGAGAGAGTCTCCCCAGCAAACCACCGTACCGCCATCCTTCAGCGCAGCAAATGCCCCTCGCGTGCTGCAGAGCTCAATGACACCATGTGAAAGGTCTTTCCGCACTGTCTGGCTGTTGCCTCCGGAAGTGTCGTCGCCCCAAGTCACCACGTCACCACCGCAACGAATTGCGGCGAAGGCATCGTCTGTAGAACAAATGCTGCGAACTCCTCCTTCCAAAGACTCTAGCACAGCGGAGCTGTCCCCGCCGGAGTCTGGATCGCCCCAGGTGATTACGGAGCCATCATCCCGCAGAGCTGCGAACGCGCTGGGATTGGAGAAGACCGTGCAGACGGGGGCAGAGTTGATCTCCACAAAATCTTCCTGCACGCTGCTTGAATCACCTCCAGCATGTGGGTCGCCCCAGGTGACGACAGAGCCATTTGTTTTCACAGCGGCGAATGCGCTTCGGTTTGCCCAAACACGCTTCACATCTTTGGTGAGCCTGTGTACCACCGATCCTGCATCCTGAGAATGAACATGTAATCAAAGTCACATGCAGTCACGGTCACAGAAAAGTCACATAGCCTGTGCGCCCTGGTACAACATTTGACGACAAGCACAGCAATGCATAATGTTCACTTCTCGCGCCCTCAAGTGAAGCCATTCACGGATCTTCTGCATCCTCAATGCATCCATGCATCCCCTCCATGGGCAGCACTGCCCCAAGCAACCACCGAGCCATCTTGCTTTAAAGCTGCAAAGGCGGAGTCGGTTGCAGTGAGACCTGTCACCTCAGCTTCCGTCTTGGAAACAGGGCCCCTGTGGCAGAAGTCTCCAGAAATCAGTGGATCATTGCATGAGTAGTTCCAGCTCAGCATTTGCTTGTTGCGTTGTTCAGATTCGTCGAACCTTGCTTGGATGCCTGCGGGCCTACTGCTTCAAGCTAACCTACGCAGAAAATGAGGGTTGAAGAAGGCCTGCCTTCACTGCTGCAGGTGCTGGGCGAATCGAAAACAACAGTAGGGCCAGCAATGGCACGTTGCTCGGGGAACCTACTCCCAGCCTACGCGGAGAAAACGCAAATCAAATTGGTTTCACGCCGCTCTACTTTAATTCTGTCGGGCTGCAACAACCTGTCTTGCTTCGTGACCGCAAACCTACCAATAATACACGGATCTACCCGGGTTCCTGCTGCTGCATATCGAGCCCTGCGCGCCAGCTACGACTGAAAACGGCTACACGGAGATAAGACCATGCTACACCAAAAAAGGGCTACACAAAAGCCAACAAGAATGCTGCTCAGCTGAGCAGCTCCACTTTGGAGAGAGTCCCGCACGGAGCGACTATCCCCTCCGTAGTCAGCATGGCCCCAGGTGATGACAGAACCGTCGTGCTTCAAGGCAGCAAAAGCCGCTGCCGATGGGCACAGGGACTTAATGCCCTCCTCCACCTGGTGTCTGACTCTCCCACCTCAAGAAGAAACAGCCATGCTGCAAATGCATGCATGCTCAAAGCGAAACTCTTTCTTAGACTCCCTCAAGATTTCTCTGCCCTCTGAAACTGAAAAGCTGTGTTTTGCCACTGTGGTTTCAAGGGGCTGTCTCCCCCAAACTGCGCATCTCCCCAGCAGACCGCTGCGCCCCAGGATGTGAGAGCTGCAAACGCGCGGTGGTTGGCCACGAGATCGACAGCCATCAGCGAGCGTTGGTGCCACAAGGCACAGCTCACAGCTCACAGCTCAACATTCGTATTGCATATCAACCGGATCATACCGTTGGTATCACAACGTATCTCCTGCGGTTCAGGACAGCATGCAGAGGACATACGCAGCCTTCATGTAAAGCATGCGAACTACGAGGACGCCTTGCAAAGCAAGCAGCATCTCTTCCAGCTCTACAACGTTTTCGGACATTGTAAGGCTCCGGCAAAGATGCACAGAACAGCACGGAACCGTCGCTTTCGCAGACCGAAAACATGCGGCCGCCTGGCAGGGTGAACCCACATGCCGCCAGGTGAAGAGCCCTGTCATCCGAAGGGCAAGGACGCACACTTTCAGGCCCACCCCATCCCCCACACCCCAATCTCTCCACGTGTAGAGGGGCTTTCGTGCCTAATGTGACTGACCAAAGCGCCTGATGCAATCGCTCCATCGCTTCTTTCACAATCTCCTCCTTTGCCGCTTCCTTGGCACCTCAGATGCAAAGTCAGAATGATAGACAGAATGTCACTGAATGATATGCAGGAGCGATTTCACCCTACAAGCCTCACCAAGAGATCACGGACATCACTGAGCAGTCAGCTTTGGCCCAACTTTGCTTCGGCCGTCTGCAAACAGACACGCTGCTGCTTTCTCAATACGCGTTCCGGCGAGCCATCCGGTTCTACAATAGGATGCTCGTCCTGCAAGATATCCAGCGTGCTGACGAGTATTGCCTCCTGTCCGTGGGCGGAATGAAACACAACTGATGCCAGTGCCACTCCGCGAAAGCTGGCAAGCTTGGAAAAGACCGTAAAGAATCTAAAGACCCTACAGACCCTAAAGACTCTAAAGACCCTAAAGACTCTAAAAGACGGTCACTTGACATCACTGTGTCCTCACCGAGCCGGCTGCAGGCGTTGAGTGGGGAGGGGGCCTTCGCAAGCCTCACCAGAGCCTGGCCTTGCGTCACGCAGTCAAACGTCATTGAAACGTTGGCAAACCGGCGGTAGGAAGATGTACGAGTTTTCGGACCTCACACTCGAGCACCATTTGGTTTAGGGCAGCGGCGGAAGAGCACCTTCCCCAGCAAAACCTGTCTAAGGCCGTGCTCTCGGCAAGCAAGCGCCCCAGTCTACCACTCGGACGACATGCCACACAGTCAAAGCAATAACAGTAGAGGCTCCAGTGCGCACCTGCCCCTCCGAACGAGTTGACAGCTCCTGCACCAGGCCTTTGAGGCCCCAAGCGGCTAACTGCAACCGCAAGTCCCGGTCTCAAGAGAAAGACGAAAGTAGTCTCATCTCACTTCTCCCTCTGCTCTCCTCCTCGGCCAGCTGCTCGAGGCGGCTCTCCTTGGCTCTTCAGAAGGCTGAGCGTTAATGCTCCTTAATACTTCTTTTGCTTTGCTTCTCAAATAAGGCCAAGCGTTTGGGGCCGGCACCGTGCTGTCAAGAGCACTCAGGGCTTTTTGAAGCTGTTGCACCACCTGCCATCATCTGCTTAGCAGCTCGCCGGACCGGACATGTGCGGCGGGCAGAGGACACATCAGCAAGAGGCCGCAAGGACTTCACAGAGGAGGAACACAAGGGGGGCCGCAGCCGCACCTGCTGCAGCGCAGACTCTTCCGAGGACGCAGCTGCAGACAGACCACCGAGAAGGCCAGGGTCCTGACTAGAGGCGTTCTGAACTTAAGGCCTTAAGGCCCCTGATCGCCGGTTGACCAGGCCTTGTCTAGGAAGTGGCAATCTGTCGAACGGGTTGTTGAAGCAGCCTGGCAAGACCCGTTGTCACCACGCGTGTTCGGTCGCCAAGCCAATTGCCTGCGGCACCGCCATACGTAGCTGCAATCTGCAAAGCCTGGTGAAGGTCTGGTAAAGTAGAGTTCCAGGACATGCCCAGCAAACTTCGTGAAGCGCTGGGCTACGGACCAGATTTGCAACTTGGCTGCTTCAACCTTGTCCTTGCTCGTTCTGAAGTCTATAGAAGACGAAACAGCTAACACCAGGAGACGACAAGAAACGAATTTGAAAGACGACAAGAACTGAACAAGACATATGAACACAGACGCTCTGTCTCAGACGTACCCTGCTAGTTCATAGTCATGCGGAGAAATGCGGCAAAGCCGATGATGGGTCACCGCCGCATCGTTTACTCAAGTATGTTAGCTGAACTAATTAACCTCCCCCCAAAGACATCCCATAGCTTTGGCTGCTTGATGAGGTGGCTCAGCGTGACGGCCACTCATTGCGACTTAACTCCAGCATGAGCCTGAATGGTCCTTCGTTGCATTGAACAACTCGATGCCCTGCTTCGCGTGCGTCATCGCCTCGCTAAGCAAGGAGGCAGGGGCGAGGCAGGGGCCAGGCCAAGCTGCCTCGGTGTGATCTCACACATGCCAGCGGCCTTCGTAAAACGGCCAGTGCTCGCATAGAGTCGGCCCAACCTCCGCGCGGCTGCGCAGTCGCATGCTCTCGGCCAAGAGAGAAGAATCAACTTGGAACACGGGAAAGCGTCAATTTGGATCTCAAGTAGCCTCGAAACAGAGCAGCTCTAAACACTGGCCCAAGCACCACGTCTAGTTCTTTTTCGCGTTCATCGTGCTTAGGGCTTTGAGGGTTTAGGGATCGTAGGGTTTAAAGTGTAGGGCTTTTAGCGTTTAGTGCTTTTGGGGCAGGGTTTAGGGCTTTCAGGGTTGAGGGCTTTTAGGGCTTAGGGCTTTAATGGCTTTAAGGGTTTAGGATCTTATTGCAAACCAACGTTTTAGCGTTCTGTGGAATGAAACTTTTCTGCATTCCAAATTGACCCTTTCCCACTTTCCTCCGTTCCCTCCCCCAGCCCAACCACGCGCAGAGTCTCGGCAGCAGGCTTGCTGTATGCTCGAGCTAGCAGAGCGCGAACCTCACGCCGAGCTGCGAAACTTGCCATGCGGACCACAAGTCAACTCGCCACCGACCTGAAGCTGGAGTTCTGCTGCCACCTGGCAAGGTCCACCCAATGCCCCGGCATTTTTGATATTTGAGCTGAACCGACCCTCACCTCACTGGGTACTGCAGCCAACTGGTGCAGAGATCGGAGGCACAGGCTCACGGTGGACTGCCAAGTATTGCACGCAGCACGTCTTGTCCATGATAACAAGCGGGCGATTGCCATGAAGAGACTTGCCAAGAAGCTCTCCTGCAGCCATCGCTCGCACTGCATGGCCGGCGGCTGCATAGAGTCGTTCATGCCCGCCACCTGAGCCTGAGCGAGGGGGGAGAGCGGGAGAATACACCTGAAACGAGGCACGCGTGGGTCCGGTGGCCTCGATGTAGCTGCGGGTGTCCGGGTCGAGCTCCTGGCCTGGTGCCTCGGAAACGCATCGGGCGCTCCCTGCCGGAGCTCCCTTAGAACCGCAATGCCGGGGAATGCTTGGTAATGCTCGGGTGGCCCAAAAGGAGCTTGAATGGAGAAACCCCCCCCCCCCGCCCCAACAACCCCAGAAGCCCAAAAGCCCATCGCCGACCCCCGAACTTGGGAGCGGGCGACACTGGGAAGCAGCAAAGTTGCGAGCTCGTGCAAAAGATCCGCCTTTGACTCAACGTTGCTTCGCGATTGTGGATATGATTTGCGGGACATTGAGGGACTCAACACAAATCGGCCATCCCTCTTCTTACCTTTGACGTCCTTCCTGGGCTCTGGCCGAGCCCTAATCACATCTTTCTCAGGTCTCAGCTCCGCCCTGTTCTTCGTTTATGTTTGCGATGCTAGGTCTCATTCAGCAAGAACTCCCATCCAGAATCCCCGCAAAAACTCACAGGAAGCAAGGGATGAATGATGAAAGGGTACCAGTCCGTCGAAAAGTGGAGTGACTCAACCTGGCACTGCACAAAAAAAACCCGCTTCGAGAGATTCAGGACCGGCCTTCCATTTGCAGATAGAGCTCAGCAGCGAGGACCTGTCAAACGCTGCGAAGCAGCAAACCCAACAGCGCCCGAATTCCACAATCGAACCAAACCAGCAGGCTCCGCTCGTATGCCCCAGAACGCTGCGGCTGTCCGGCCCGAGGTTTGGTCACAAGCTCCTTCACAAGCTTTGAAGGAAAGTGGGACACCACTTCTGCAAACGCAAAGGCAGCCTCTGCAGCATCCAATTCTTTCATGGCGGGTCCGATCATGCCTGGCGGGCTCCGGAAGACTGTGATAGGTTGACAGTGCTGCGACAGCACCGGAAAGTGCACGAGCACGTGCAAATCACGCCAAAAACAATCACGGAGATCGCCCGTCATTGCCCATCATCGCTCATTCCATGCTCGGCAATGGCTGGGCAAAACAGAAAAGGCAGAGACGGTTTTCCTCTCAGACATGCGCCACTATCACGGAAAATCTGGTGACACCCTGCGCAATGGCTCCGTCAGCGGCGGTGTGTCAGCATGACAGAGACAAGGGACATCATCCTCTCTCCGCTGTGTCCTTGGCATCACGCTCGTCACAAGATGTATAACATGTCAAGTTCCAAGTCGGACCAAGGCACGAAGCTCCCTGGCATCTCAGGGTTCAAACACCCCAGCGCATGCTGAACGTAGGCCTCATGGCGAGATCTGGAACAGTAGTAAAGGAGCATTCAGAGCATGCCTGGGCAGCATAAATCCCCCCGCGCCTTCCCTCCCCCCTTGGCCCCACTCTTGAGAACGTGAGGCAATCCCTGAATTCTGGGCCGCAGTTGGGGTGCCCTATACATGAGCCTGGTCTATACATGCGCCTGCGTTGTACAACTGGATCCCCAAACAGGCAGCCTCCGAGCAGGCCCGGGCCGAGGCAGGTCGCGTAGCGTTAAAACTAGACCCGTGAAGAGCATTGGCAAATTTGCAACAGCTGGGACGCGAACCCGCCCAAGTCGTTCTGCAAAGTGCGACGGATACCACACCTCCTGCTGGTGTCCAGACGTGTGCTGACGCTAAGGATCAGACCTTACCTGACCGTTCCGACATGCCTCATGAAAGCAAAGCCGGTCCCCTGGCTTGCGGAGCTCCATGAGGGAGTACACTCCCTCAACTTGCTGTTGCAAGTTGAATGTGCCTCGGCTGCTGGAGACTCAACTCCAGTGACTTGTGTGCCTTGCCTGGGGGCCCAGGCGGGTTGCCAGCGTCTGCTCCGTCACAGTTTTTGTGAGAATGTTACCTCGATTCTCATCAATGCTCTGCGGCACTCTGCGGCCCCACGCTGCGGCACTCAGCGAGGCCAAGGAATGCGCTGTCTTCAGGCGGTAAAGCCTGAGCAAGGGGGTGGGAGCGCTTTTGCGGACTCCGGCAAGAAATGACCTGGCCTTCTGCAGCACCTTCCAAAGCAAGGTCAGCATCCGCAGTGGCAGCCTTTCAGATCATGCCGCAGTGAGGGCCAGCGACGACTCTGAGTGTCGACGGCTCACTGTTTTGCTTTAACTGCAGGCTTGCGGCATCTCTCGCAGGCTTGAGTGCATGCGCTTCACCTTGGCACGGTCAAATTGCCGGAGCCCCCATCCGTTCAAGCCGGGCCTTTAGCCTGACGAGCAAGATCATGAGCAGTCGATGCCATTTCTCACGATCAAACGGCCTTGGTCCGGGCATTCTCAGGGAGATATCCTCAACACATACCAGTGCCCCGCCACCTGATGCCCTACCTGATGCACATGACTATACGGGACTTTTGAGTTACATCCCAATTCCACGTAGGAAGTGGCGCGAGCATACCAATGATGATGCAATTCATTTCAGGGCGTGGGCAACCAAAACGGAGGTCCTTCAGCCAGCCCGGAGCCCCACCAAGACAAGCACCCCGATTTCAGCATCTTCGACGCGGAAATCATTGCAATGATATCTGACCTCAGCTGTGCATGAAACTTGATTCAAGTCAGCGAATGGCGAAACACCAGAACTTGTTTTTCACGGCGTCTGGTTGTCCGACCTTCGTGTTGGTGCATCTCTGCTGTACATGCGGAGGTTGTGCATCGAACATGTCATCGCAGCCCACTCTTGTGAAACTTGTGCATGTCTGCATGAAGAACCACCTCTCTGCTTGGAACTTGCGCAGCTGAAGCTCGGCATGTCAGTTGATGTGATTGGTGTTACATCTTGTCCGGCATGCGCTCTTGAGTTCCGAGCACAGGTGTGTGGCGCTGAGCGTTTCCTGGCCCGGTTCCGCAACCCTGCGTTGGGAGCACGTTCCCTCTCCGCATTTCCTGAGCGTCACAGCACCGAAACGCGGCGTTTCGGAGCACTGTTGACCGAAAACCTTTGCGGCAAGGGCATTCTCAACACCCCAGCGCAAGCCAGCTGTGCCATCCAAAGTCCAAAGCCGCGCAATCTTAAACTCCTAAACCGTATACCCTAAACCCCCAAAGCAGTGCAATCCAAAGCAGTGGTACTTCTAAACGGTATACCCTAAACCCCTGACCCCCTTGCAAATCAACCTGTCAAACATGGGTCCCAAAATACGACACCCGCGACCCCAAACCCAGCACAACTGCTTCCCGACCAGACCATGAGTCATTTTGTGTGTTCGGTCGTGCGGGTGCACTTCCCCCACAAAGGGATACAATTGTCCGCTTAGTCACATGCCCACAAGGGTTAGATTTAGATTTTCTCGGGGGTATGAGCTAAAGGGCAAAGATTTGCTCGTCAAGACCGGCAAAGCCGCTGCAAAGTGTTGACCCTGCCAATCCGACAGCTGGAAGACGCACCCAAAAAAAGTTGCCCGCAGCACTGCACTGGTGTTTTAAGAAGGCAGCCTAAGCATTTCACCTAGGCAAATGGCTTACTTTCGAAAAAAGTACGGTTTTGCTTTCGTCTTGGAACGTTCGAAAGCCTTGCAAATCACCTCCTGGGAACTTCTGGTTTCGGGTTCGGATTCAGGGTTCGATTCAGGGTTAACCGTTGATAGCTATACTTGAGGGACGAAAAATTGAACTAGAAGTGAATTTGCAAGGGCCCTAAAACCAATCCACAGCCCCATCACCAAGGGGGGTTCGAGGGAAGGGGGTACCTGGACCAGGCCGGGGGGGGGGGGGGGGGCTGCGGAGATGCTCGTTCTTCCCCTTCCCCAGCCCCCTTACTATCCCCCCTCCCCCCCCCTCAACTCTCCTAAACCCCTAAACCTAAACCCTAAAACCCAACCTAGAACCCTGAGGCTAAAAACCCCTAAACCCTCAAACCACAACGCCCTAAACCTTAAAACCCGAAACCCTAAACAAACGGTATTACCCTACCCGCTAAGCCCTTAAAGCCTGAAACCTTAAACCCTAAACCCGAACCTAAACCCTAGACCCCTAAACCCCTAAACCCCTAAACCCTAAAAACCAACCCACACCCACACCACAGGAGGGGAAGGGCGGACTGGGAGGGGGAGGGGGGGGAAAGGGCCTGCCGGGCACAACCATCTTTTGGGCCTTTCGTGCCACGCAGCTTCAATTTTCGGTGGGGTCGAGGAGGACACCAGAGGGGAGGTCAGGCAACAGTAGGGGGCCGAGGAGAACACACATTTGGGATGTCGACGAGAAAAAGCGACTGCCTTGAACAACATCCAAGCATCAAGCTGTCAGGATTGCTTTAAGATGCTTTGAGCTCATGGCATCTGGTCGGCCATGGATTCCCGCACCTCTCAGATGATTGCGCATGCTGTCACAAGGCACGCAACTACAGTTAGGAGAGCTTCATGCAACAGTGCTGCTTAGCTGAACGGAACTCATGAAGCAAGCTAGATGTTTCAATGTGATCAATTCAGAGGAGCGCACCATCACTTCGCCAGCCCCAAGCCTCAACTCAGCTGTCCATCATTTTGCTGGTATTTGCAACTTCATGCAACTTCATGCAGAGCTTCAGTGTGGGGCTCAGGCTGGGGCGCCGCATGCTGCATGCGCTTTGCATAGATCTAGCCAGCCAGGTCAGCACTACACTGCTACACTGCCAGTGCCGACACCGCCGCCATCAGTCTAAAGAACACAGAGCGGCTAATGTCGTGCAATGAAGGCGACGCCACAAGACTTGCCCAAGCCTGTCCGGATCTGATGCCTGCATAGAAGCGTGTAACTGCCTACACCATGCTGCCCACAGGCTTCTGTGCAATTTAGGATACGAGCCTTCGCTGCTCGTGGTGAGTGAACTAGAGCTTGAAGCCTAGCATTCATGAGCAGATGCCGGGGGCACAAGTCAACGTCTCTTGAAGCCACACCTGTGGCTGGTCCAGCATGCTCCTGCCGTCATGCCTGGGTAGGGGGCATGTGGGAATTCGGGTGAACCCGTGTCTCCCGCAGTGAACCCCTCCCTGTTCCTTCTTCTGGGCTTTTGAACTGAATGGAGAACCGAGCTGGGAAGGAAGCCGCCGAGACCCCAGAAAGCCAACCCTGGGGGTTCTTGCAGTCAAAGCAGCATTCTACTTCGAACATCCCCACCCTCTCTTGGCAGAGGTTTGGGCACTTCAGGGTCTGGGGCTGGGCACTCCGGGGAAATTCTGGGGAGACTCTGGGGTTGGGCACTGACCGGGCGAGGAGAAGAGTTCCGGGCGAGGAGAAGAGTTGAGTTTAAACTTTAACAACCCCACACCGAGGGTGGGGAAAAATGTTGCTAGATTGATTTGCGCGGCGCGCGCGATACGCGTTCTTTCCATAGCGTGGGTGCGCACACGGATTTCATCGCAAATTACATGCTTTTGGCTTCGTGGACAGTGTCTCACCTAGGCCCCGCGTGTATCTTCCGGCGTTTGCAGTTGGAAATCGTGGTCTCGGCTCAGCTCTCTTGCATTTTTGAGGTTTGCATCGCTCCGTGTCCTGAAAATTCCTGCATTCTGGGCCGTCGGGTGGATTCGCTGAGTGCGGCTAGACTAGAGGATGTGCAACTTCGCGATGTTGGAAATCGCGCTCGCACGTCGCTTTTGGACGTCTGTGTTCGCGAAATGCGAAACTGTCGTCATTTGTCGTCGCTCTTGGGCGTCGTTGCATTTCGGGATGTTGGAGATCAGGCTCCTACGTTGTGCTACAAAGGTCGACTTTGTGGAGCCCGTACTACACTTGCAAAAGCGACGACAGTTGCGCATCCCAACCAGACGCCCAAAAGCGGCGACAGTTACAAGAATGGCGACGTCGGGACATCTGGAGGTCCAGTAGCTCGAAAGTCAGCTTCTCATGACCCCATGAAACGTACCCCCTTGAACTTGACGTGCTCTTCGTGTCCCCATGAAGTCTCACTGTTTGGGGTCTACGCCAGCATAACTCCGGCATAATTCCTTTTGCGAGGAGGTGCCATACAACTGGGTGCTGCAATGAGCTGCATCACAGCGGCAGGCTCCGTCAAGCCCGTCGTCTTGGGATTGCCATGGCGCTTCTGTTGTGGTTGGCGATTTTCAGAGAATCCGGGAGGTGGGCCGCTGGAGGCGTGTGGAAAGTGAGTTGCTGGTAGGGCTGTTCTTGCAAGCTGCGAGATTGCTGCGGACGGCACAAAGCATCTTGCGCAAGCTCTCAGGCATGTCTACGCCGCGTCTACGCAACCTGGAGAAATGAAGGCAGGCTGGCGCAAATCGCCACCACAAGACAGGCTTTGGCGCAGTCTTGCCAAGCCTTTGCCAGAGGCAGTACAGGTTTGGGCGTTCAAGGCCTGGACAACTGTTCAACTGAGAGTGCTGCAAAGATGTGCGTTGATGGCTTTAGCATGGATCCGTTCCTGGCATTTCAATGCTGCCGATGTGCCAAGTCTCCCACGAAGCAACAATGCCGAACGGGCCTCTAATTGCCTCACACTGCGAGCGAATCTGCTGCTGCTTTCCAGATTGCTGGTCAGCACGCTGCTGGCATACCTGGAAGAACTGCACCCTGCAACTTTGTGACCAGCTGCCTCTTGTGCAGCTATCGATACGGGCCCTCAGCATTTAAGCAACCCATGTCGACAGACTCGTCTCATGGCCCGACCGCGCTCAAAAACATCCATAGCTCACCATAAAGGCTCAGGGGCACTCTGCAGCATGTTGCCTGCTTCGCTGGAGGTGCCGCCTAGGTTGATACGAGCCTTTCACTGAGATCAGTATAGTTGAGGATACTTCCGGATTGTAGCTGCCGGCAGCAGAGCTGAGGTCACTGCAAGGCACTGAGCATCCTGGAAAGATCCAGATCCACATCGCCATGTTCATCCTGGCAGATGAGGTTCGCTCAGCCTTGAGTCATGTCTGATTGAGGCATGTGAGCACGCGTTGCAGGGCCTCCGCCAAGAAAGTGTCGGCCAGGAACTCAAACGCCGAGGCCATGAGCAGCTGGAACCTGCATCCGAAGTCCGCAGGGGCGTGCCCCCGCCGTGTCTCACTCGATGTCTCGCACGCGACGTCACGGGATGTCTCGCACGCGACGTCACGGGACGGCTCGCGCGATGTGGCACCTGCATGGTAGAGGTGGCGGATCCGAGCCATCCTGCAGCTTTGCCGCGTGGATCAGCAATCCGAAGCTCCGACAACGCACCCTTTTTGCCACGGAGTCCCGCAACAATGGGGCGTGCGCTCAAGAGGCAACACCTGCTTTGCCAGGATATTCTGGTCTCCTCTGCGCATCGAGCTGCCGATCTCAAGGCTCGAACCTGCATCGGGCAAGTGCATAGTCGGCAGCTGGACAGCGACCGGTGTCATATTCGTGAAGCCGGCAGTTCTGGCATCTCAGCTGCGGGCTGATCTTAGCATCATTTGGCGCACACGAAGAGGATGGCAACAGCTTTTTGCTGTCCACCTCTTACAAGCCCGACATTCGACCGGCGGCGTGAACATCCCAAAAGCCACTCAGACGCACATGGTATTGAATGCGGCATGGCTTGCTTCTACTATGCTCATGGCCTGGCGCCAGACGGAACCTCAGAGATGCAAAAACATGACGTGCTAAGACTTACACTAACAGCCAGTGCTCAGCAACAAGCAGGTTGTGCTGTCGCTTAATATCGCTCAGTCGTTCTCCTACAAGGCCATGTCTACCCAGCCTTGCTTCACGCGTTCTGCTTATAGCTGTGAGTTGAGGCCGTTACGTGCTTCAGCTCTGTGCGTGATCGCGCAGCTTCAGACGTCATCGGCGACTGCGCAAGCCTCACCTGTGCTGCAACTCAACCCCTTGAGCCGCTTGTTTCACTCACGCGAGCCATCTCATCTAAGACCTATGCTGCCGCATGGTAGCTGAGCAAAGCCTTTGTGACCTTTGCACTGAAAAGAGCAGCGACTTGAATGGACGGATCTGGGCTGGGTGGGGGTGGAGCAGGGCGAGCCGGGCCAGCGCACAAGAACTGCTCGCCACCGTTGGGAGCTTGGAGACGATTCCATCTTCGTGTCCTCACACGACTGAAACGAAGGTGAAGGCATTTCGGCAATTCAACTCCCTTTTTGGTTTCACATGTTTCACATGTTGGCCCATCCTCCTTTCTGGGGGCGGTCGTCTTAGCCATCTGCTCCAAACGGGCCTGCGAAGTGCAACAGTAAGATAAACTGAGTCTCGACATCCTCCAGCAATTAATGGCATGCAAGGGTCGCCAGTTCCAACTCCTCTGAACCTCAGCCATTCAAAACTGGACCGGAGAAGAAACGACCCTACTGTCGACGTCTGTGCCAGCCCTGCAAGGTCTTTTTTTCCAAGGCGGCACGTGCGCAGGCACCACGATCTATCTCAAGCCGAATCCTTGCGTCTCCGTGACGGCCTCAACAGACAGACATGCTGCGCCGGACAGAGGAATCCACTGTGTGCAGTCGAAGTTTCCCTCAAGCCAAAACAGAGACCGCGTCTGTTTGTCTCACGTGAGGCTGTATGCTGCCTGCAGAGGGAACGGGGAATATATTCGACTGAGTACAAAGGGTCTATGGGAGACTTCGGGTGGTTCGCACTTTCGGGTCGGTTTGCAGCTTTCAGAGCCTGTTAGACTTCTGGGCTTGTAGGTTTTTGGATGGGCTTTGGTTTTAGGGCTCAGGGTTTGCAGCGGTGTTTCGGGTAGGCAGGACAGGACATTTTGCGGTCTTCAAGCTCTCAGGCATCACGGATTATTAAATTTCCCGAGGCTTCCGGGCTATTTAGCCCTTGAGGGTCGGTTTTTCGGGTTAGAAGAGGGGCATCTCCTCGATTCTTCTGTTTTCTAAGGGGTCTGGGAGTGCCGTTTCAGAAGCTCCAAAAAACCAGGGCTTCTCAGGTTTCGGAGCCAAGTTCACGCACAGGGCGGCTCCGCGGGAGGGTCTGGGAAGGCTGCGGCTCTCAGGGCTCCAGGGTACACATTCGTGACTGCCGTGGCTTGCAGAGAAAAAAAGGCACAACTGCAAGACCAACAAAAGGGCATCCCGGAAAAAAAACCAGTGAGACACACACAACCTGCAGAGAAAACGAGCTCCTGCAACAGGCGTTCTCGAAGCACGCTCGGAGAGGAGTACAGGGGCAGCAAAAGCGTGTGAAAGCCTCGGGTCGGTCTGGTTCTCTCTGCAAATCTCGGAAGGCTTGAGTGCATGGTGTGCATATATGCACTTGGCTGAAAAAGCAAGAGAATTCGAATGACATGCAGACCGAGCTTCAAGTGTATGCCGTCGGCAGCCTGACACTGCAGCGAACAACCCGGATGTAACCGGCAGTACTGTGATGCAGGGTGCTGTAGCTGCTGCGCCCACCTCTCATCCCCAGTTCCGTTCTTCTGGATCTGCAGCTTCAGCTCAGACCAACCCTTCGCAGGCATCCTGGAGTTTGCGACTATTGACCCACCAAAGACCCTGCAACCATTGGGAGCTGCTTCGAAGGCTGCACCCCCGCCCTCCACACTCGGTTCGCTTCACTCGGCCAGAACAAGTCGGACGGCTACTAGGGCATGTTCATGTTAACAGAACTTTCCGGCATCTGCCAAACTCCGCCCCCTCCCTCGAGCTGTGTCGGACGTGGCAGTCCTGGAGCTTGCAGAAACAAAGACAGCGAAGCTGTCAAGCTCATCCTCGCTGAAGCTGTCGAGAATTTCCTGAGTTCCGCGATTCCGCGCCACATGCTTTTCATTCACAATGCATCCCTTCTCTCACTCAAACGTCAACTTTTTCTCACTGGGCTTTCTGAGCGAACCCTTGTGAACCTCAATCTTGTTCAAACAATGCTGAACAGCCAATACAAATGTGTAGCCAGTGGTTTTTATAGTGCTGAGTTTAGTTCTGAAGTCAGCATTTAAACAAAACAGGTTTTTCAAATACAAAAAAACGCCGCTAATTGCAAAGAGTAGCATCGGTGACTTTCTGTTGGTACGTAACGGAAGGCTAAATGTAAAGTGGGATTCCCTTTCAATACAATACTCACCTCATGCTATAATTTTTATACTATGTTCCAAATGACTACCTGCCCAAATAAGACGCTGTTGTTCGGTTGGTATGCCTTCTTTATCTGGCACACTCCCCTCGGTGGGCGTTGCAAGTCAGGCATACTAAAGCCTATAGAAGAAGGATGCAACGGATCCTACACTCATTAGACTCATGCCACTACCGATGCCGACATCGCAGGACTTGGCCGTGGCAGCTACGGGGTCCTGCAAGCACTGCCGGTGAAGGCTCCGGCGGCAACAGCGTTGCTGCAGGCACTGCAGTCACTGCAGGCTACAAGGATTCCCCAATCCCAAGGCGCAAAAAAAAACCACGAAAACAACAAAGAGCCCTCCTAAACCTTCTTTATCTTGCACTGTTGTTCTACATTGGGGTCCGGACAATCCCCACACTCAACAAACGTTACACCCCAATCCATGAGTGTGTTTATGTGTGTGCGTGCGTGTCCGTGAGTGTTCGTCTGTGTGTGTGTGTGGTGTTATGTGTGTTATGTGGATTCTGCGCATTACGTCTGTTATGTGTGTTACGTGTTCAATGTGTGTGATGTCTCTCTCTATTTCTCTCTTTGCACATGCGTGTTCCGAGTGTTGTGTGTTTGTTGTTTGTTTGTGTGTGTGTGTGTGTGTGTGTGTGTGTGGGTGTGTGGGTGCGTGCGTGCGTGCGTGCGTGCGTGCGTGCGTGCGTGCGTGCGTGCGTGCGTGCGTGCGTGCGGCGGGTGCGTGCTGCGTGCGTGCTTG